CATTGGTTACATTCATAAGGTTTCTCTCCAGTGTGAGTTCTTTTATGATTTTGGAGATCACTGTCACATGCAAAGTCTTTACCACATTGGTTACATTCATAAGGTTTTTCTCCTGTTTGAGTTCCTTCATGTCTTAGGAGATCACTTTTAGATGCTTTGGCTTTACCACATTGGTTACATTTATGAGGGCTCTCTACATTGTATCCTTTTGAGTCTTAGGACATGACTTTTCTGTGCAAAGGCATTACCATATTGGCTACATTCATAGTGATCTGCACCAGTATGCATACATGTGTGGGGACTACTGTGATGTGCAAAGACTTCATATTGAGTATCTTAAGGGAATTTGTCGGCACAATGATTGTTTTCATACCTGCAAAGATAATTGGCACATATGACAGCTTTTCCACATTCATTACACTAATGGATATTTTTGCCACAGGACTTAATTTTGCAATTTGGATTAAAGGTAAAGAAGAATTACATTTTGAGTTTTCATCATTATTTTTATATTCACGGTGTTCTCCTCTACGGGTTGTTTTGCATATTTGAAAATACCTGTGATGATAAAAATATTTGTTACCTGGCTAACATTTATCATATACTTTCTTCTATGCGATGTTTTACCACATATTTGTAGAAAACTGTAACACCTCAGAGCTTTAACACAATGACTAGATTAATAACTTTCCCCATACTGTGAGCCATACTAAATATGTAAAGATAACTGTGAGTAAAAGAATAATTTGTATATACCTAAAATTATATTTTTTGCAGTGTGATTTTGTGAAAATTCCTAATGAAGGTGAAAAACCAGTTAATTGATGATGGTGTATATTGTGTGCAAGTATGCCAGTATATGTGAATGCTAACTGTTGAGCCAGCAATCAGTTCAGTACTGATGAAATCATAGTATTGTTAGTTCTACAGCTGATCACCTGTCCTATATTTTGTAAACATTTGTCCTTCCTTACTCATTTATTGGAAATAAGAAAGAGCTAATAAGTGATAGCAGAGCACAAAATGAAGGACAGAACTTCTGAGTGAGAGAGGTTTGCTGGGAAGAAGAAAGCAAATGACAGGCCACTCACCAGCATGACAATGAGGTTAACAGATGAACATGAACATTAACAAAGAGGTAGAACTGGCCATGCATTGGGATACTGTGCTAGGTTTGTGTTAGGGAAAAAAGGTGTTCAGAATCTGCCCAGTTAAGTTGCCTAAGCTTTAAAATATTAAAATGCCTTTGTGTCATTATTTGTATTGCTGGCAGCTCTAAATAGCCCATATAAATCATAATAGGTATCAATTTTTAAACATCTACTCAAAATGGGGACTACTATACCTTTTAGTTGTTCTGGGTGGTACATTGTTTCTTTCAATATACATATATTAAAATGACTTCTACTCGCTGTGATACATGATAATATAACTAACTATAAAAAGAATAATAAATGACATGATTTCATGATGCAGTCACACATTTGATTTTTGTTCATCACAGACACATGCTATAGGGGTTATCATTTTTCCACAACAAAATTCTTGACTCTAAAAAATGGCCCTTCTCACAAAACTTAGGCATATTACTACAAGTATATGAGTAACCTCATTTTACTATGGACGAGTTGATTAGTATAATGTTTTGGATATAATTTCATCACCTATTTACTGTGAATACATTTGGCAATATCTGAGTTTTAGTAGACTAAACAAATTTCAGTTTTACCTCATAGTGCTAATGAGTAAACAATTTAATCATTGATCTTGCGTAAGTATGATTTCATTGCATTCTTTCTTAGAGGAGTGCCTTGCAAACACATATCAAACACCTAACATGGAGGTACATGGTTTAGTAACAAATTAGTCATCATCAATAAATATACTTAAAACAGTTCATTTACACTGTCCCTTCTCTTTCAAACTTCCAGAACATATAAAAATTTTCTCAGAATCATATTCATATCAACTTACAATGAAAATTACCTTGCATATCTTCTAGAACTTTGACAATGCTCTTCTATATTATGACTTTCCCAATTGTAGCCTAAAATACAGTAACAGAAAATGTATGATTTATTATTGGAAATAAGACAAAATTTAAGTCGTGTTCTAGGGTCAGTCAAAGCACCATTCACCTCACTCTTCCTCATCATCAAAAGAAATTACAGAAGAACTTAAATAATGAATAAAGAGCTTTCCCTATATTTTAAAAAGTAAAGAAAATTCACTGTCCTACCTATAGCAGTGAGGTTCCTGTAGGTCTCCAGCATTACATCTTTGTAGAGATTCCTCTGGGAAGGATCCAGCAAAGCCCACTCTTCTCGAGTGAAATTCACATGCACATCATTGTAGGTCAATGCTGTCTAAAATATCCACACACATGTAAAACAGAAAGCATGATACTTAGAACACTGGAAATATATCCTTTATTTACAATATTTTCAATGTATTCTGGTGGTTCTTCTACTTAGTTTCTGACATACAAGTTGTAATGTAATCACCAACTCTTTTTAGGAGTAAACTCAATAGTGAGGTTCACCTCTCAAATTTCTGCATCCTTTTAGTAGGATATAGCCTGGCAAGAGAAATGTCAATTAACAGATAAAGAGAGAGAGAGAACAGATCAACAGTACTGAGCCCACATGAGAGAAATAGTATAAAGGATTTCTGATTCTTATAAGAATGGGCAGGCTGAGTGTAATTTCTGATGACTTGAATTCCAAAATCACTCAGGAAACAGACGCTGGTGTATTCCACAGAGCTGGATGGTAGACTGCTCTTTGCAATAAGTTCCAGGACACTCATGAGTACATATTAAGATCCTGAATAATATGCAAAAATTAATCAAACAAGCAAGATAAAAAAACTTAAAGATCTTTCTCAAGTTTCTACAAAGATTTATATATTCATTTGAGTTCTGCATAAATATCTAGAAACCTGAAGTGCCTCATTTTAAAATGTAATATTAATGTGATCTTTTAAAAATGGTCCTCCCCTATCAGTGGACTTGGAAAGGGGCAGGGAGGAGACCAGGGAGGGAGTGTGGGGTTGGGGAGGGAATGAGGGAGCGGGATACAGCTGGGACACAGAGTTAACAAAATGTAACTAAAAAGAAAAATAAAATAAAAAAAATGAAATGTATGTTTGAACAATTACAAAAGGAGAGTGAAAACTTTAGCAATTTACATGTTGATCATAAATACTCGCAAAACAAATCCAAGCACACATCAAAGATATACATGATGAACAAATTGGCTTACTCTCAGGCATACAGGGATGGTTCAACATATGAAAATCCATCAAAGTAATCCACTATATAAAGATACTGAAAGACAAAGATCACATGATCATCTCATTACATGAGAAAAAGCCTTTGACAAAGTCTAACACTCCTTCATGTTAAAAGACTTGGAGAAATCAGGCATACAAGGAAGCAGGCACATAATACAATGAAGGCAGTAAAAAACAAGCTGATAGCCAACATCAAATCAGTTGGAGGGAAACTTATAGAAAATCCACTAATATGAGATATAGGACAAGGATGCCTCCCCTCTCCATATCTCTTCAATTGAATCCTTAAGTCCTAGCTAAAGCAATAAGACAACTGCAGGTTATCAAGGAGATACAATTTGGTAAGGAAGAATTCAAAGTATCACTATTTGCAGATGATTTAGTAGTATACCTACGTGACCCAAGAAATTTTACCAGAGAATTCCTACAGTTGATATACACTTTCCACAAAATGGCTGGGAACACAACTAACTAAAAATTTCATTAGTCCTGTATACAAATGAAAAATGGGCTGAGAATGAAATTTGGAAAAAAACACCCTGAACAGTAGCTACAAACAACATGAAGTGAAAGACCTCTATGACTAGTTTCTTTAAAGAAAGAAACTGAAGAAAATATGAAAAGATGGAAAGATCTCCCAAACTCATGGATATATAGGATTAACATAGAAAAACAGCATTCTTTTTTAAAATATTTTATGAATTACAGTTAATTCACTTTGTACCCCCCCCCCCGTAGCACACATCCTCCTCCCCTCCCAAATGCTCCCTTTATCCCCTTTCTCTAAAACAGCATTCTTAAAAAATGGAGTCTACAGGTGCAATCCATTTGCCAACAACATTCCAACACAATTCTTTACAGACCTTGAAAGAGCAAACATTAAATTCAAGTGGAAAAATAAAATACCCTTGATAGCAGTACAATCCTCAATAATTGGAATAATGACACAGAAATAAACCCACACACCTATTGCAACTTTACTTTCAACAAAGAAATCAAAATCATACAATGGAAAAGAGACAGCATCTTCAACAAATGGTAGTAGTGTAACTAGATGTCTACATGTAAAAAAATGAAAATAAACCCTTTGTATCATCCTACAGAAAATCTAGTCTAAGGGTATCTAAGACTTTCACATAAAACCAGAGACTCTAAATCATTCAGAAGACAAGGTGGAGAAAACTCTGGAACTTATTAACACAGGAGAACAACAGCAGCACAGGCTCTGAGATCAACAATTAATAAATGGCATCTCAAGAAACTGAAAAGCTTCTATAAGTCAAAGGACACTATCAATAGAACAAAACAGCAGTCAACAGATTGGGGAAATATCTCCATCAACCACACATCAGACAAAAATGTAATATCCAAAATATACAAAGAAATTAAGAAATTAAACACCAACTAATCAAATAAACCAATTTAAAAATGGGGTTCAGAGCTAAACTGAGAAGTCGCAACTGAGGAATGTCAAATGGCTGAGATTAAGGAAATGATCAAAGTCCTTAGCCATCAGACAAATGGAAATCAAAATGACTCTAAGATTACATCTTACACCCCTCAAATGACTAAGATAAAAAACTCAAGTGACAACACATTCTGGTGAGGATGTGGAGAAAGGGAACTTTCCTCCAGGGCTGATGGGAGTGCAAACTTGTACAACTTCTCTGGTAATCAAACTGGTGCATTTTCAGAAATTTGGGAATAGTTCTACCTCATTACCCAGCTATGTTACTCCAGGGAATACATCCAAAAGATGTTCCATTATAGAATAAGGACAATTGTGCTACTATGTTCACAGCTATTTTGTTCATAATAGCCAGAACTGAGGAATGGATAAAGAACTTTTAGTACACTTACACAATGGAATACTCCTCAGTTATTAAAAATAAGAAATCATGGAAATTGCAGGTAAATGGATTGAACTAGAAAAGATCATCCTGAGAGAGGTAACCAGACACAGAAAAAAACACATTGCTTTTAAGTGAATATTAGACCTATATATAGTACAGGATAATCATACTACAATCCACACACCCAGAGACGCTAAGTAACAAGAAGGTCCATGTGAGGTTGCCAGAATGTCACTCAGAATAGAAAACAGAACAGACAGCAGAAATGGATGAAGAGAGGGAACTGGGCAGAAGTTGGAATGGGGAGGGAAACAAATGTGGGTATCAAATGTGGGGAGAATTGTAGTAGGAGGTGAGAGGGCTCAGAACAAGAAGGGAAACTGAAGGCATTTCTCTTTGGAGTAATTTGACAGGGAAGGTTCCTGATAGGATATGGGTGTGACCCTAGATGATACTCTTAATGGAGGAGCAGGAGAAAAGAGACATGGAAAATGAAGTGACTACCCCCTAGCCAGACAGGACTAGTGGAGAGAGGGAACAACAACTGAACCATAAAACCCATGATCCAAAAATTACCCTGCCTACAAGAAGTTTAGGGATAAT